CGGATCCTCGATCCGACAGACTGACTCGACTGCCATCAATGCAAAATCCTCACGATCGCACGCCGTATTCAGCTTGAATCTGGTTCAGCGGAAATCTTCGAATGGAATAGTGCCACCTAAAGACAAACGAATGTCCATGCCGGTAGATATGACATCTGGGTCAGATCACGCCATTACGGTTGATAGCAAGCTTCACTTTGTCGATCTGGCAGGAAGTGAGAGGTTAAAGAACACCGGAGCGTCGGGCGAACGGGCTAAGGAAGGTATCTCGATCAATGCCGGGCTTGCTGCACTCGGCAAAGTTATCTCTCAGCTTTCGTCTCGCCAAGCGGGTTCCCACGTTTCTTACCGCGATTCGAAGCTTACCCGGCTGCTCCAGGACTCCCTCGGTGGAAATGCCTACACATATATGATTGCCTGCGTGACTCCCCCAGAATTCCACCTAAGTGAAACGCTCAACACTGTCCAGTACGCGCAGCGAGCTAGAGCAATTCAGAGCAAACCGCGCATCCAACAAGTCAACGATGATTCCGACAAGCATGCGGTCATTGAGCGACTGAAGGCGGAGGTGGCATTTTTGCGTCAACAGTTACGAAACGCAGAAGAGGCAGACCGACGAAGCGTCGCCCCAGCTGAACGAACGGAGCGCCAGAACGAGAGGGAAATTGAACTTCAAAACCATTTGCTGGATGTTCAAGAGAGCTACAATGCGCTCAGCCAGCGCCATGCCAAGCTTATCTCAGAGCTGGCCCGGGATTCTGAGAGAGGCGCTGAAACAGATCCAAACGACATTGCTAGTGCCGTTGGCAAAAGCTCAGTGGAGAGACTCAAGAGGTCTCAATCGTTCGCAGAGTCTATTGAGCAGGTTGTTCTCGAATACGAGAAAACTATACAAAGCCTGGAAACCTCTTTGTCAAACACCAGGTCATCTCTCTCCACGACGGAAAGCACTCTCCTAGAACGCGAAACTAAATGTGCCTATGTTGAGACTGTTAACTCACAGTTACAGTCACGCATTCAGAAGCTTCTAGATCGTGAGGGTAGCACAGAAGCGTATCTGCACGAACTGGAATCAAAGCTCGATGGACAATCATCAGGCGAAGAGAAGCAGGAGGCTATGGTGTCAGAGTTGCGCAAAGAGCTTAGCCGTGCTCGTGAAAGTGAAGCAAACTGTGAGGAATACATTTCCACTCTGGAAGAGCGCTTGGCAGAAGCGGATCAAGACATGGAGCTGATGCAGAGAGAGCTGGAGCGACTGGAGCACGTCGTCGAGCGCCAGAGAAGCTTAGGGAAGCTAGATAACCTTCTTTCTGAGCTCGACCATGTTCAACAAAACGGCACCCAGAAGGAAGAAGAGCTTAGTGATGAGATTGAGCACGTTTCCAGTGTTCCTACCAAGAGCGCCTACAACCCACGCTTGCGCGCAACTTCGCTTGATGTATTGACTGAAGCTGCCGAAACCGCTATCCCAGAATCTGATGAAGGACTGAGCGAACCAGTGGCTACACTTGCGGATGAGACTCAAATTGATGCGCAGTCGGTTGCTGAAGAAGACGAGCGCGACTTGAAGACCTTGGAAAATGCAACAAACCACCTTCAACCTGAACTTTCGGATACGCAAAGCCGGTCTCCCAGCCCTACTCAGTCGAAGGTTGTAGCCGACAAACTTGAGACGGTGACACAAGAGCTTTTCGACTTGCGTTTGCAGCACGAGACCACTCTGAACGACTACGAATTGCTCGAGTCCAAGTACGAAGCTGCCATGAAGGCCCTTGCTGAGCTTCAACAGGATGCTGCAGATGAAGCACGCCATCCCGGATCGAACCTACAGACCCTTCTATCACCCTCTGCGTCTTCACGTCCGGTATCTTTTTTAGACGATGCGAAGATCCCCGAGTCGAAAGTTGGAACACAACGTTCCTTCTCGCAATCACTCTCATCGGAGTTATCCTTGGCCGGGGAGCCTGCTGCTTCGCACGAACCATCTAAAACAAACGAGCAATTGACTGAGCAGGAGGTCCCAAACAGTGCTCGTATCTCTGAGGCCGATGAAGCCAGAGCTCAGGAGGTTGAGCAGATGCGCCGTCTGCTCTCTGAGCACCAAGAAGGTGTTAGCATCATGACGCAGAAGTATGCACAGCTGCAAGCCGAACATGAACAAACACTTGGCCTCATTGAATCTCTCAAGGCCGAACTGCAGAAACCCAAGTCGTCATCGCCGCCAACAACACCGGGCTTCAAGTCCCCTGTGATCAGACGTAAGACAAGCCAGAGCCTGATTGGCAGTGTTGATCGTGCACAGAGATCTCTGGCCGCGCTACGTAACATCGCCTCTGAGGAATTCGAGTCTCGTCCTGATACAATGCAAAATTTTGAGGTGCATCTCGATTCTGCTATGCACGAACTGTATAACCGCATGGAGCGTATCCAAGCGCTTGAAGCTGAAAATCAAAGTGTCAAGAAGGAGATGGAAATGAAGTCAACGATCATCTCCGGACTCACTCGAGAGAGATCCAGCTTACAGGGTGGTGCATCTCAGGTGGACATGGGTCTCGTGTCTCAGCTGCGTGACCAAGTTGTTCAACAAGAGAATATTATCACCGAAATGAGAGAAGCGCACGAAGCTAGGGAGAAGTTGCTGCTGTCGGAAATTGAAGAACTCAAGGGTCTCCTCAAAACTCAAGAAGAAGCCGCCAAGGCTTACGATGCCGGTGCCGAGGAACAAGATCGGAAGATCAATTCATTGAACGGCGAACTCTTCGAGTGGAAGAACAAACATCAGAATGCTGTTCAGTCTCTACAATCATCGGAAGAGCAGCTTAGTGCGACTTTAGCAGAGCTTGATACTGCACTGGCTTCTTTGGACGCAATGCGTACCGAACAAGCTGCTGCAGGTGAGGCATCCGCTTCAAAAGAGGCTGCTGCAAGAGAGCTTGAAAGCGAAAGAGCGCAACAAGAAGAAACTGTCAGTAACCTAAAGAGGGTTATTGAGGAGCACCAATCTACAGCTACCATCAATCTTGAGAAGATTGCGCTGCTCGAGAAATCATATGGTGAAGCCCAGCAGCAGTTGACAGACCTCCAGACCGCTAAGGATAACGATGGCAATGAGGCAGAGATGCATCAATCCCGCATGGCTGAACTGGAGAAAGAGATTGAGACCCACAGATCATTTGCTGAAACTTATAAGAAGGATCTTGAGTCTTTGCACGAGACTCACAGGCAAGAGAAGGAGGAGTTGGAGTCTCGCGCAAGAGCCGCCACGCAGGCTGAGTATGAGACACGTTTCACGGATATGAATACCGACCATGAACAAGCCTTGGAAAAACTAAGGTCTGAGATCATGGCATCACGCGACGATTTGACGAACTTGATGCAATCGGTTTCGCGATTGTTGAATTCCGATGTTACGGCTGACAACCTCGCGGACCAGATTCAGGATGTTCTGATGCAGAAGCAGCACTTCTCTGACAAATATGCGGAGCTTATGGATTTGAATAATGATTTGCGCAAGCAATTGGACGACAAGAGCAGTGAAGCTGGCCGTCTCGACGAGCTTACTCGGACTAACGCGGCAAAAGACGCCAAGGTAAATGAGCTTGCTCTGCTGGTGGCCACTCTAGAAGATACCCTTCTGCAGAAGGAAGAACAGGTGAAGAAGAAGGAGGCGCTTCTTGCAGAAGTCCAAGAAGAAAAGGAGCGGAGTGTCCGTCTTGTTGAGGAGCTCGAGGAACAGATCACAAACAGCTTCGATCAACACAACAACCGCCTTTCCGTGATCCAGCAGGAGCGCGATCAAGCTTTGGAGGATGCCAAGGTCAAGATCGATATTTACGAGAAGGAGATTGAGACATACCGTTTGCGGATTGAACAGCTTGAGCTCCAACTCAAGAATCACGATAGCTCTCATGATCGCAGCAGCTCAATCACTTCTAACCTTCGCAAGAGCTCCTCGGCAGCCTCCCTTCCTTCTCCACCTCCAGCCATTCCTCTGCCACCACTTCCCAACATCGCAGCTGCCACCAACGGAACTGGCAGCATTTCTCCGCCAAGCTCGCGACATACTAGCAAAGAGTTAGTCAGCACGCAAATCGTTGAGGACCAAGAGGCGCGCATTCGTACCATCGAGAAACACTTGAACGCCGAAAAACAACTTACGGCCACGTTGGAAGAAGCCCTTGGCGATCTCGAAGCCCAGAGTAACAAGGTCAAGACCGACTGCGACAATTGGAAGAAGAAGGCCTGGCAACTGGAAGAGGAACTAACGACTTTGCGTAAGGAACGCAACTCACAGCGTCTTTCGCTTCAAGCTGTTGAGGAGGAGAGAAACGCTCGGCGGGAGGCGGAAGCCGCCAGAGCGCAGCTTGAAGAGCGCATGAATGCGCTCAACAAGAAGAAAAAGAAGAGCACGCTCAATTGCTTCTAAACAAACCATTCATTTTGTGTGGGAGGTTCTCTGTTTGCTCGCTTATCCTTATCCTTGCTCTCCTGCCAGATACGAAGTTAGCCTTTATTGTACCATGATGAAATCCACGTCGAATCCCTCTGATTTTGGACATGGTGGATTAGTACTCTTTTTTCGCTTCTTCTGTGTGTATTTCACAGATCACTAATTTTGTGTTGTTTTTGCCCCATTTTTTTCTTTCTTTTCATTCACCCTGTGTTTTATGAATTTCACCTTATGACCTTGACCTGTATGGCCTGTTATTGTACATTTCTCGACTACCCTGTCATTACACCTTACACATGCACTGTATTGAGTGACCATGTTGTCTTAGTTGCTTAGAATAGCTTTTCAGAGCGAAATGAGCTAGAGATCATAGAGCTTGCGATTCTGACTTCCCTCTATCGACCTATGTTAGCCGGCAAGATGTAGTTGCATGCATAGTGGAAATAGTGATATCACCAGCAACTGTTATCATCACATGACACAATCTAATCAGCTTATCAGCTGAACCGATAGTGGCCGCGTGTACTCTTCCCCTAACACAAAAGCTATACAAAGATTCTCCCATTGCGCATGGGATGGCCGCTCTCTTCTCGTTTCCTTCCTAGCCAGTCAACTCCTCCCTGCCGGTAGTAGCCCATCTTGTTGGGCACTCGCGATTCCACCATGTCGTCCCCAAGCCCCCGCCTCCCTAAAATCACCATCATCCACCCGGACCTCGGCATTGGCGGCGCCGAACGTCTGATCATCGACGTGGCCCTTGCCCTCCAGAACCGCGGCCACCGCGTCACGGTCTACACCTCGCACCGCGACAAGTCGCACTGCTTCGAGGAGGCCCGCGACGGGACCCTCGACGTGCGCGTCCGCGGCAACACGATCTTCCCCGCGCACCTCGGCGGCCGGTTCCACGTCCTCATGGCCATTGCGCGCCAGGTGCACTTGACTTTGTCATTGCTGGGGGAGGCTCTAGACGACGATGATAAGGCCGGGCAGGAAGAGGAGGAGATCTTTATCGTCGATCAAGTCCCCGCCTGCGTTCCGATCCTGAAGACTTGGGGTGCGAGCAGAAGCACTAACAAGAGCAGCAGCAAGCAACGCATTCTCTTCTACTGCCATTTCCCGGATCAGCTGCTCGCCTGGAGAGATGAGAGTAGTGGGGGACTGTTGCGGGTGATGAAGACGCTGTATCGGGCGCCGTTCGATTGGTTCGAGGGATGGGCGATGAGTGCGGCGGATAAGGTCGTGGCCAATTCGCGGTTTACGAGGGGGGTCATCACGGGGGTCTTTGGGGCGGAGACGCTCGGGGAGTTGAGCGTGGTTTATCCTTGTGTGGATACTGCGGTTACCGGGGAGAAGAAGACGGAAGAGAAATTGTGGGGTGGGAAGAAGATCTTGCTGAGTGTGAATCGGTTTGAGAGGAAGAAGGATATGGCGCTGGCGATTCGGGCGTATTTTGGGCTTGGCGCGGAGAAGAGGCTGGGGACGCGGTTGGTTATTGCTGGTGAGTTTGGGTTCTCCTTACCTTTACTGTTACTCTGCGGGGAGGGTGGATTTTAGGTGTTGCGGTGGGCTAATGTGATGTGATGTAGGAGGTTACGATAACCGCGTCCAGGAGAATGTGCAGTACCACAAGGAGTTGGATCAGCTGGCGACGAGTCTGGGATTACAGACTGCAACGGCGAAGACGGTCGTCTCGGCGCTCTCCGTTCCAGACTCGATCGACGTGCTCTTCTTGCTCTCGGTGCCCACGGCCTTCCGCGATACTCTCCTGCTGCAGTCCAGGCTGCTCCTCTACACGCCCGTCAACGAGCATTTCGGCATCGTGCCGGTCGAGGCCATGCGCGCGGGGATCCCCGTCCTCGCGTCGAATACTGGTGGGCCTCGCGAGACGATCGTCGAGGGTGAGACGGGCTGGCTTCGGGATGCGAAGAACGACGCCGAGTGGACGGCGGTCATGGATAAGGTGCTCTACGAGATGGATCAGACGGAGTTGGATCGCATGTCGGCTGTGGCCAAGAAACGGGTCGAGAGCGAGTTCTCGCTTACTGCGATGGGCGAGAAGTTGGACGAAGAGATCGGCCAGATGCTCCGCAAGGAAAGGCCGCCATTCAGTGGGTTCCAGCAGGTCCTGGTGGTTCTGGCTCTCCTGGTCGCTGTCTTTGCCGTCTTGGTTACCGTGCTTCTCAGGTTGCATTGATTTGTTTCTGCTAATCTAATACCCTTTTTGCAATGTACAGTTTATTAGAATTTGATTGCTCATTTGTTACATGGCCGATGCTTTTCCCCATATACTGTATAGTATAGAATAGATATTGATTCACGTGATTGCGCGCATCGGACGTGACGTCGCGACACGTGCCGCCGGCGGGCCTTGGATCTCTTATCCTCCGCAATCGTCGTTGGCGGTTTCTTGCCGACTCTATCTCAAGACGCGACACAATGCCAGAGATCATCAGTCTTCTCTCCTCGACACCCCCTCCCCCTCTTCCTCCAGTTGACCGCCACGAACTTTCTTCCGCAAGACGAGCTCATTCCTCTCCGCCCGGCGCCGCATCCTTCGCCGACGACGTCGACCTCTCTGCTTTCACATGGGAGGACGATCTCGACCTTGACCACCCGTCCAAGCGTCGACGTCTAAGCCATGAAGCGCCTCCTCCTCCGCCTCCCCGATTCCGGCAGCCATCCCTCCCCAAGCCCAGGAATAATCTATTCCTGTTCTCCGACGAAGATGTGATCTTATCCTCCGAAGGCCCAAGGCCAGGTCCAAGTCCAGGCCCCGGCCCCGGTCCCAGCCCCACCCTTCCGAAACTCCCAGTCTGGAATGGAGAATCAGATCCGATTTTCTTCACGTTGTCTGCCCCAGACCTCAGGGACACTACGCTTGTTGCACGGCAATCTCCTCCACCTACCACAGATGCCATCGCAATCGACGTCAATGATTACGATGATCACGAGCGAATGCCCGCGACCGGGTCAAATAACCACCGAGAGAACATCGAGGATTTCAGCGACCAGATCCAATTTCCCGACATCAACGAACTGCTTGAACGTCCGAGACCCCCACCGACGGCCGGCACATTCTCCAGTCGTACGGCGGCTCTACTCGCCAACCTCGAGCGACCACAAGGCGGTAGTGCCACGGGCAGTACTTCCACAACAACGACAGCAAGCAGACGGCGCAAGAAAGATCGAGCTACGGAGGACACCATCGAAGATGACGATGAAATGGATGATCCAGCCACTACAGCAACCACCGCCCGGGGCAAATCCCAACGCAAAACCACCGCCACCACACGCACCACCGGCACCGGCAAGGACGCCAAAGCCCGGGAACGCGAGGCGGCCAAGGCGCAGCGCGAACAGGAGCGGCAGCGGGAGAAGGAGCGCAAGCAGAGACTCAAGGACGAGAAGGCCCGGGAGAAACAGCTTGCCGCCGACATCGCGGAGGTCAATAAACTGAAAGTCACGAAAAAGGAGTCGACGCCGGAGATGATGATCGACCTCGCCTCGACGTTTGAAGGGACGAGTGTCGGAAACCAGATGACGGAGTTCATGAAGCATCTCGGGGTGGAACAGTCGTTCTTCGCCAGTGCAATCCCCAACGTCGTGCGATGGCGCCGCAAGGTCAAAGCGACCTACAACGAAGCCCTTGGGTACTGGGAACCCTGCGCGCCGCACATCCGCGACGAGGACGAGCATGTGCTCTGCCTCGTGCCGGCGCAGGAGTTCGTCGACATGGTCTTGGCGCCAGGTACTCCGGACACAACCCTCGAGCAACACATCCAGACGCTGAAAACCACCTACCCCAACCGCACCCCGATCTACCTGATTGAAGGTCTCACCATCTGGCTACGCAAGAACAAAACCTCCCGCAACAGAGCCTACGTAGCCGAAGTCCGTCGCCAGTACGACAAGGCCGCAGCGGCATCAGCAGCAGCATCCAGCAACCCCACCACCACCACAACAACAACAACCACCCGCCGCACCCGCAAGAAACAACCGGCCAACAAACCCGAAACCACCCCGCCCATCGACGACGACACGATCGAAGACGCCCTCCTCGACCTCCAAGTCACCCACGCCTGCCTGATCCACCACACCGCCGCGCCCGCCGACTCGGCCGAGTGGATCAAGAACTTCACCGAGCACATCTCGACGGTCCCCTACCGGCGCGAGCGCATGGCCGCCAACGACTCGGCCTTCTGCATGGACGTCGGCCAGGTGAAGCCCGGCGAGAACCGCTCCGACACCTTCGTCAAGATGCTGCAGGAGGTCAACCGCATCACCGCCAGTATGGCCTACGGCATCGCCGAGCGGTACCCGAGCGTGCTGGACCTGGTGCAGGGGATGCGTCGCGAGGGGCCGGGCTTGTTGGAGGATGTCAAGGTATGTTTCCCTCTCCCCCTCCTCCTCCGTATTGCGGTGTGGTGTATGAGCCTTGTGGCTTTTTGGGCAAATGTGGACATGCTGACGTTACGGGTTGTTTACCAGAAATCCGCGAATAAGAACGGCGCGCTGACAGATTCGCGGATCGGGCCGGCGGCTAGTCGGCGGTTGTATAAGGTGTTTATGGGGATGGATCCTTCGTCTACGGATGTCTGATCCGCTAACCAGTTGTTGGAGGCGATTGGCTAGGGCTCGGTACTGGGGGTTTACCTAGTTGGGTGGTTGCGCGTTGTGCAGTGCTAATCTGTACCCCCTAGGTGGACTAGGGTATTGTGAGCATTATTAGATTTTCCTTCTGGTTGGCGTGGCGTTTGCATGGACGATGAAGGGTCTTCATGAATTCAATTGTTATAACGAACCACAAGCACATAGATGCCACACACACTCATGACCCTAGAGTGACAAGCTAATTTCAAAACAACCTTGGACAATAAATCAACTACACCAAAAGTGACACAAGGCTATGCTCAGTATGCATGTGGCTGAGAACCAATTGCCAAAAAGCCAATGCCAGGGAAACGAAAAAGGAAAACCCCGATCTATATACCAAATATGTCATACCTTAAAGATCAGCGCTTTCCAGACTGGAAAAAATGAAGAACCAGATGGTAGATGGCAATAGCCGGCCTCAAACGACCACCCCGCGTCGCCGCCAATGCCGCCAGGCAGCCAACCAGGCTCCGATGGCCACCCAGACGCTCACGGTGCAGCCCACCGCCCAGAGCCCGTAGCACCACCAGCCGTGACACTGGCCGTCGGCCGTGCCGTTGCCGCCGTCCGTAGCGTCCTGGTAGCCGCGCGAGTAGATCAGGCCCCAGGCCGCGGCGCCGGCGGCGGGGACCATCGCGACGATGCCCCAGTTTGTCCCGAAGTTCTCGACGCCCCAGACCACGGAGATGATGATGGGCACCAGGGAGAAAGCGCTGCCGTATCCGAGGCCGACCAGGGCGGTGGTGATGTGGGTGAGAGCCGGGTACTCGAGGGGCAAGGGGGAGGCGAGGAGGAGGTAGCCCAGGGAGAGGAGGAATGCGGAGGGGAGGAGGAACGCAAGGCGGGTGAAGGTGACTCGGTTCCGCGGGTCCGTCGGGGATGCCGGCCGATTGATGTCCGGGTTGCCTCCGGGCAACAGGTGGCGGGCTTGCGGGGCGAAGAAGTCGGAGAGTGAGCCGGTGAGAAGTCGGGCGATTGTCGAGGTCAAGGCGACAGTGGTGACGTGCGTGGAAGGAAGGCCCGCGGGGGACGGGGCATTGGGGAGGTTGGTGATGGGGGTCAGGGTTTGTACGATTGTGCCCAGCTGGAGAGAAGTGAGTATGCATGCCAGGTTTAGGTTTGTTTCTGAGGGGGAGGAAGGTACATACATTGTTGATGTAGGCCTCGCCAGGCCCAGTAACCAAGAAGAAGCCCACGGCAAGCCACCACATGGACCGGTCTGCAAGAAAAACCTTGGTCTCATAGTTCAAAAGCCAATGCTTCTTCCTGCGTTCCTCCTCTTCCCGTTGCTTGTCCAGTCTTGCTGCTTCCAGCTCCTCTTCCGACCGTACAAGTGTGCGTTCCTCATCCGAGTCGCCCACATCGTCGGCCTGTGAGAATGTCCCGTACGCCGACCGGACCTCGTCTCTCGATCGGAAGAACTCGCTTTCTTCGAGAAGCCCGCTCCTCTCGAGTTCTTCCACCGCGTCATCGATGAATTTCTCTTCATCTTCCTCCACGATCTTCAAAGCGAAAGTACCGACGACGCCGATGCAAAGCAACAGCAGAGCGAGGAAGACGAAGTACCTGTACACGTCGACATCGCCACGGCTGCCATCCTCGTTGGGTTCATAGAGCAAGTATGTTCCAACTTGGCTCTGCCACATGCCACTAAGCCCAAACCCAGCAATCGGAACGGCCAGCATGATGCCCTTGTGCTTGCCCCGGCCGAAGTTCTTCGCGCATGTTGTTACCGCAGCCAGATACATGCAGCTGGTGGCGGTGCCAATGGCAATGAAAGCCACGATCATCACCCAGAACGGCCAGCCTTGGCCACCAGCATCGGGCGGCGGTCCGCTCCGGTAGGCAAAGGCAGCGAGCAGGTAGCCGGCCCCGAACACGATCCCGGAGAGCAAAGCAAGAGGTGACGGAGAGTATCGGTCGCAGAGGTACCCAAACAGTGGGACGGGGAGGTACATCGAGACCTCCGCGGCGATCGAGACCGCGTTGACCCGGAGCTGGGTATAATGAAGGCGGGTCAGCAGAAGGGGACCATAGAGAGAAAAGGCCGTGATGCTCCCAGCTCCCAGACTGATAATGATTTGAATAGCTTATTAGCCAGAGTTCCGCAGACGGTCGTTTTACACAACAACTAGACCTTACCAGGTAATCACCCCCCATGCGAAGCTGCCAATTCGGATGACTTCCTTAGCCATCTTCTTGCGATCGCGCTCGAGGATCTCTTCCACCACATCGTTCAGCAGCCCGTCCTCATCGTTGGCCACGGCGAGTCTTGATACTGGTCGTGACCGGATAGCTTCGTGCTCCTCCGCGTCTCCGTCTCCGCCGGCATCGAGCCCATCTAACAATGGGCGGTGTGAGTCGAAGTCTCGTTTGTCGATGATTGAGACGGTTTGGCCATTGGATCCTGTCATGCTGTGTTTCGTTCTTCAGAGGCTCCAAGACGCAAAAAGGGGGAAAGACTGCGTTGAAGCAGCAAGCCAGACAACAAGGCGTGGATGCGAATGTGACTCCTCAGGTGGAGGCGGACTATCGTCATCCGCGGGAAAGGACCGACAGTGGTTCAGCGAGAGATCGTCCAGGAAACTCTGGACAGCTGAGGCTATCAGATGAGCAGAGATTGCTACTGTGCCAGAATTAGAGAATGGCAGTCAGTGTAGGCTAAAAAATCCCATGGATTGAAGATGGAATTGCCGAAACAGTAGCTAAGCTGTCGGTCGGGGGGGAGATGAGAGTCGAATGAAGGGGAAGCCAAGCCGAGGAATGATGCGCGATTAGATAAGGCCCGCGCTGCCTTATCGCCGGAGCACGTGATTGCACCATCCATTGCGCAATTCAATCCAATCTCCCCTTGCACATACCTAGGTAGAAAGCGCTGAACTATCTACTGCACCAACCAACCACCTTGCCTCGCCTGGCCAGCCTATACTCAAGCCCTAGAATGACAAAGACCTAAAGTAGAGTGTGAATTATGAGTTCTTGTCTAGCTACTGCGCCCATATGTATGTACACAAGTACTGTACCACAAGTCTCGAATATTACCCTGTCAGACTGATTTGAAAACAAAAGGAAGGAAAAAAGAACAAAACCACAATTAATGACCCCAGAGCTTTGCACCTACTTCCAGGAGGTATAGAGCAGTAAAACATGTCCAAGAAAGGAGCAACCGGAAATGACCATCGGACAGAAAACACAGACAATGCAACGAACGGGTCTGAAAAACAATTTCATACATGCCATATGAATATGACTGCAATACAGAAACCTTCCCCTACCATGCTCCAGGCATGAATAGACGAAGAACTTGATTAGGTAGCATAGTGCCGTTATGATTCGTCAAAATCGTTTCGCTTGCCACAGGATGACAGACCATAGCTGTCAGTTATTGACAGCATTTCCACTGTCACGAGGCCCATCCCCGCATTACATGGTTGGGCAGAGCACCGGATAAGGTGTGGAAATGGTGAGAGGTTGAGTCGAGGCAGATAATCAAAGGAAAAGGTCTTCGCTCGGGGGAATCATTCCAAACACGAATATCAACCACTAGAAACTGACCTCGCCGGGGTCACTCTCCATGACGTTTTCGTCCCAGAACCGCTCCGATGATTCGTCTTGGTCCGAGTGTCGAGATCCGAGGGCAATCGCCTCACCCTCGCCTCTTTCTATGTAGTCGTCGTGGCTGACTTCCTTCAATATCCGTTGAAAGTACATTCGTAGAGTCCGAAGACCGCGCAGATAGCCACGATCGATATCGTCGGGATGCTGGGGCGGACAAGGGGCATCGGGAGAGATCTCGTCCTCGCCTGTGACACAGTTTGCAAAGTCCACGATTTTCAGCTGCACATCTGGATAACCATCATCAGAGCTCCGACGTTGCAAGTGATCTCGCATGGTGCCCGACCCTGACCGACCATTGACTTGAGTAGCTCCATCTGTTGGATTTGGGTCACCATCGTAGAGGATCAGAAGGCTGCTAGCATACAGGCGATAACGCTTGAGCCTTCTGATCATGTTCTCCAAGCGTGCTAGTTTCTCAAGGATGACGGGAATCTTCTTCGTCACACTTCGCTGGCTAGCGCCGTCGTAAAGAAATCGTGTAAGAGCATCCTGGAATTCTCGCCCAGCCTTTAGGTCGCGACCAAAGTATTTGTCCTCGAATGAGTACTCTTGTTTTTTTACATTCCACGTTTGCATGCCACACAAGCGGACACCTAGCTGCTGGGAAGTTGTTGACTGGCACTTGCGTCGTTGGGATTTACGCTTCTTCTCATCAGCCTCAATGCCGTACTGACGTGTTCCCATCTTTAGATCGAGGACGCAAGGCTTGTTCATGCCGGCTGTCAAATCCTCCAGCAACAGAAAAAATTGAACCCTGTCATCCTTCCGTGTCTGCGCTTCTTTGGGGTTGGAGGGGAGCAGTAGATGATCGTCATGCCTAGAGGCCTCCTCCGAAGGTTCATTCAAGGTCTGATCGACAGGCTTGGCGGCAACAGCAGTCTTGGAGTTGGGGAGAGGCGGCCCGAATTGGTCAGTCATCCGGCGTCCTGCTGGCGATTTGACAGATATATCACCCTCCATAGGGAAGACGCCGTCTTCCTTGTCGCCTCCGTACCCATCGTCGTCGAAGAACAGCAGCTCGCCTCCACCTTCTCCAGAGCCTAAGCTACCCCGTCTCTGCAATCCGCTCCCTGAACGGCGGCGTCTCATGGGCCGAGTTCGCGAAAGTGAACTAGCACGTTGGGGTGACTCTTCGGTTCGGACCTTCTCGAGTCGATTGTGGCCTGCATCCAAGGCCGTAGATGCCGATGAAGACAGCCCCGGTCCATCGTTTGTCTGCTTTGCAATATCGATGCCAGCAGCGAGCGTCGGGGCATCTTCAACGGAAGCGGTACGACGACTCAAAGCTCGGTCTTCAGAGAGATTGACTCTACGGCGAATGCCGTCCGATGATGTCCTTGGCAAGTTCAGATGACCACGTGCGTGGCGTCGATGATGGTGCACAGCAGGGGGACTGAAGACTTCACGGAGTACTTGCTCTTGCAACTGTCTGTTGACAGTTGTCGCGCCCCACTGCTTCTTTTTCAGCACCTGGGGAGATAATGGGCCATCGGCCAA